GGCGGATCCGGCTCCTCTACAGCTGCTCCGGAGTCCAGCCCGGGACTTTCCTGCAGCCCTCCCAGCCGCTCGCTCTGCTCTGCCGGGGGAGGGGGGAAATCCCGGATATTTTGAGTGCTTTACAAATTCCCCCCGGACGCTATTTTTAGCACAAAAAGGAGGACATGTCCGGGTAAATCCGGACGAATGGTAACCCTATTTTAAACAAACCACTCAGGGTTTCTGAAATTCCAACCCAGGACTTTACAAATGGTTTTAAAGAATATTTGAAATATTAGGAATTCCCAGATCATGCACAAAAAACAATGACAACCAACATGAATTTACTGCTAACATTTATTATGCTTTTTTTAAAGTCACTTTTAATATTATTTGTTCCATGTTTTCAAGTGTTTTGTATTTTAATTGATGATGCAGTACCCCGAGTACATTTAAGGGCATTTTGTAGATAAAATGTTATATGAAGAAAATGACTATGCACAGAGATTAATGTATTCAATACATATCCAACACTAGTCTTTTTAAATTGGTAACTGAATAATCAGGTCATATAATCTTGGTTAGCAACATAACACTACTTCCTTTTGGTCTAACGTCAAAATCCTCACTTATATGACCACTGGAATCATCCCAGCCATACAGCCAAAAGGATGATTGACCATCATCCTCTAATAATGTTAAATCATTAAATACAGCAGATAAATAGAGCAGTCTGAACTCTGATTACTCAGGGAAGCAGTTGTTGCAGTTTGGCAGTTCTAGTACCACCATTAAGACCGCAGTTACTAGTCATCTGCAGCAGATTTTTACCTGCATCAGGTAAGCAGAAATTTGAATTACAGTCCTTCAAGCAATTACTGAGCCTACATTAGTGTCCTTTTATTGCCACAACTGAGCATGTACACTAGATGTTTAGGTCAATTTGCCCAAACAAAGGTAAATTTAAAGCTTGGAGAAAAAAAATAAAGCTACAACAAACGGATCTGTAGAATACAAACATACACACAGACTTTATTTATAAACAAGAGGATATTTTCACCCACTCATTTTAATCGGTGATTGACCTTCATGATGAAAATTTCAGTTTCAAGACAACCACTAAAAGCATTTACTGTTAAAAGCATGTACTGGGTTTAACAGTTTGCCTGGAAACACAAACAAAAATCAAAAAGGGTAACCTCAAAGAAAACTCTACAAATAATCTCCAAATTTTGTAATCAGCATTTTGTAAGACAACATATGTTCACTTTAAACATTAACTTTTCTAGAGCCCAACACCAAAAAAATCTAGGCCTGAATAACCATGTATGCATGCCCCTCACTCTCTTGTGCACATGGACAAGGGGAAGCCATTATATTGATCCTTGTGCTACCACATCCTGATCTAGCACCTATAGAAATGAAAGAAAAGATTCCCATTGACCTCTAGTCTATGGCACTGAATCTGGCCCCCAGTGCACAAGGGCCAACAGTGTCTACCTCTGACATCAGAATTAGAGAAGCCAAAAGCAACATAACCTTGCACGATGTCCATATGAGTAAGGAGGAATGATATTGGCAAGGTGGGAAATCACATTTCCTGCTTTGGCATGCACTCCCCAAGTACTCAGGAGACATTATGGTTGAGTCACCCAGAATCCCCTGGGTGTCTGCCCCAGGACGGAGCCCCTCTGCAACACCATCCTCTTAAAATACACACATAGGCTCTGGCTGTAAAGGCAACATCCAAATCCTTTTTTTAAATATACACGTGCAAGTTAGTTGACACAGTCTCTTAAGGAACAGAGGAAGGTTATATTCTTCTATGTTTAAAGATATATAAAACACTAAATATTGCACCTTTTACTAATGATGCTTTATTGCAGTGACTAGTGAAACTAGTGAAGAATTCCTGCATATTGTACTAGAGAAACATAGTATATACAATATTTAAGGCATCATAACCTTTTAGCATTTTGTTATGCCCCTTCTTTTCTATGATCTGAAGAGCTTCTTTTGTTTATTATGCCAATGATGAATTCTGAAAATAAGACAGAAGATCAAGAAGTTGTGTTCCTTTCTACCTATAACTCTGAGTTTGGATAGTTCCAAAGTGATTTAGATGAAGAGCAGATGTAGACAACGACACATGTTGATCACAACGTAACAGATATTTTAATGGGAAACCTGGTTCTGCAGGATTTCTAAAAACCTTTTAAATCCACTAGTGGATGCCTCACCATATGTTTGCCTCTTTCCTTATACCCATTATATCAGCCAGGAGAATAAGCCAGTTGAGAGTGCTCTCAATTAAAGAATGTTATCTTAAAGTCTTCCTTGAATAAACAATACTTGGTCCAGGCCATGACTTTGTAGACGGGGGGAAAAAAAGAAAAAAAGACACCAACAGACTATGACGATGATCAAATTGAAGTTTTTTTTTTACAATCAGCTCCAAGACATCATTGATAAGGTACACAAGAAAGATATCCTGATTGTACAAGGAGATTGGAATGCTAAAGTGGGTACTGATGCACAGGCAGATTGGTGAGATTATTGTGGCCCTTTCTGTAATGCTGTAACCAATGAGAGAGGATTGAGACTTTTGGAGTTTGTCAGCTATAACAATCTGGTTCTTGCAAACACATTAGGAGCACATAAAGCACCCAGATGATCAAAAAGGCACGCATCTAATGGTCTACATCACAGCCAGATCGACTACATCATGGTACAAAACCGATTTCGTTCTGGGATTAACAGAGCTAAAACAAGGAGCTTCCCTGGTGCTGATATTGGAAGTGAACACAATCTTGTGATGCTAAATTTTTGGCTGCAACTAAGAAAAATTGTCAGGCCAAAGTTCACCAGAACCAAGTTTGACTTAGAAAGACTCAGAGACCGAAACATTGCAGAGTCATTCCAAGCAATGATTGGGAGAAAATTTGCCCCGCTGCTTGCTCTAGAGGAAGACATAGAAACAATGACCAACAATTTCAACGCTGTCATGAATGAGGCAGCAATGAACATCCTTGGGAAACACTGTAAGAGGACAAAACCATGGGTCACAAATGAAATACTATAAATGTGTGACATTAGAAGAGAACTTAAGAGAGACAAGAACAGCACTGAGGGAGCTGATAAATACAGAGCAATTGCCAGAAAGATCAAGAAAGGAATGAAGGTGGCCAAGAAGATATGGATTGAAAAACAGTGCTCTAAAATTGAAGAGTGTATCAATAATAAAAATAGCAAATGAGCCTTCCAGGTTGTAAAAGATCTGATGAAGAAAAGATGGACCAAAGCTAACGCAATTCAAGACAAAGAAGGGAACAGTCTTACTGAAGAAAGGGACATCATCAATAGGTGGACACACTACTGCTCTGGTCTATACAACCACCAGACAAAATGGAGATCCTAGTGTCTTAGACATCCCAGATTCAACAGAGAAGGATGACTTTCCAATACTATGTGAAGAAGTGGAGACAGATGTGAAATCACTCAAGAACGGAAAGGCTACAGGTATTGACAACATCCCAGCCGAATTGATGAAATTCGGAGGAGAAATAGTAATAGATGTACTCACCAAGATCTGCATCGAGATCTGGCAGACCGGTGAGTGGCCCACCACGTGGACACGGTCACTAATCATCACTCTGCCAACTTGCAATTGTGTCAAAATTACTGGACCATAAGCTTAATTAGCCATCCCAGCAAAGAGATGTTGAAAGTCATATTGAACAGACTGAAGCCACAAACAGACAATATCATCGCTGAAGAACAGGCTGGCTTTCGTGCTGGAAGAAGTACCACAGAACAGATTTTCAATCTTCGTGTTCTATGCGAGAAGTACTTACAACACCAGCAGGACATCTACCACGTCTTTGTTGACTTCAAGAAGGCTTTTGACAGAGTATGGCACAAAGCTCTCTGGGCAACCATGAAGAAGTACAATGTTGGTAGTAAGCTTATTCTTACCATTAAACAACTGTATGCCAAGGCCAGCAGTGCAGTTCTCATCAATGGCACAACAGGAGAGTGGTTTCTCACCACTGTTGGAGTCCGGCAAGGCCGCCTTCTTTCACCCACACTGTTCAACATCTACTTGGAGCGCATAATGACTGATGCCCTAGAAGATCATATATCACAGTCAGCATTGGGGGCGAACAATCTCAAATCTTTGGTTCGCTGATGACATTGATGGCCTGGCAGGCAGCAAAGATGAACTTGCCAACCTTGCGAAACGATTGGATGAAACCTCTGCAAAATATGGCATGGAAATCAGTGCAGAGAAAACCAAGCTGATGACAAACAAACGTGATGGGATCAGCTCACATATCACCGTCAGTGGACAAGAGCTGGAGACAGTGAAACAGTTCAAGTATTTGGGGGCAATCATCACTGATGAAGGATCAAAGGCAGAAATTCAGGCGAAAACTGCACAAACAACAGCAGCAGTGGCAAAGCTAAAGACAATTTGGAAGAATAAGAACATTTCCTTGGAGTCCAAACTGAAACTGCTGCACGCATTGGTCATCTCCATTTTTCTGTATGCATGGGAGACATGGACCCTTATGGCAGAACTTGAACGGAAAATACAGGTAGTAGAGAGGAGATGCTTCCGTAAAATCCTGGGCATTTACTTCGACCATATCACTAATGAAGAGATCCGCAACATCATCACCCAATGCGCTGAGTCATATGAAAACCTCCTGACAACCGTGAAGAAGCGCAAGGTGAAGTGGTACGGCCACATAACAAGATCGTCTGGCCTATCCAAGATCATCCTCCAAGGGATAGTACAGGGGAAGAGGAGAAGTGGTAGACAGAAGAACAGATGGATTGACAAGATAAAAGAATGGACAGGAATGGACTTTGTGGAGACTCAAGCACTGACACACAATCATCAGGGGTGGAGACAATTGGTTGATTGCTCATCAATGACGGTGCCCCAATGACCAATGCAGTTATGGGAGTGATGATGATGATGATAATGAATTGCATAGGGCAATGAAAGAAGTTACCTTGGCAATAGCTTGTCTCAGGAATCCATAGTACCAAGTAGACTCTCACTTTTCAGGCTCAGACTGGATAGTTCCCTAAACAAAACCCAAAAATCAAATTGTTAATATTTCAAGGAGAGTGTCATTTGGGAAAACAGTAAACAGGGTTGAGCATTTTCATTTTCTGAACTATCAAGGAAGGTTAAGGATGAAACTGAATCGTCACTTCCCTAATCTTGGGCAAGTCATTCTTCACATAATCATTTCACTGGAATCAATAGAAAGCCAGAATTACTTGACCCGTATGTTTGAAAACAGTCAAGAGGTTAATGGTAAGCCCATATTGTTTTTCTTCCCCATCAGGTATCATGAGACCATAAAAGGTGTTAATAATCAAGAAATTGCGAGAACCATAAGATGAAACCCTGCACTAATTAGAGGGGAAGCATATTAAGACAGGTTTTTGCTATATTTCTATTTTTATATTAAGCAAGCTGTAAAGTGCTCTATAACAGGTAGAGTATATCAGTCTGGGAAGGAAGGAAAGAAGAAGGTTTTTGTTTAATTACTAGACCTTCTGCACTATATTAAGACATTTAATCAAGATCTCTCTCTCTAGATATATAGATATAGATATAAATGCTTTCTAATTTCTTTTGTTAATATGTGTCAAATATCTTCACTGCCTCAAAGAATGAAATTACTAATAAATGCTGCTAGAATTATTACATTTTTTGTGTGTGAATGTGTGTGGGAGGGAGAGAGAGAGAGAGAGAAGGGAATTGTTTCAATGAGAAATTATGGATGCGCAATCAGAACAGTCAATGCTTACATCTATTCTGATTTTCAATAATAATGTAAAAGTAACATAAGGCTAAAAATCCCCCTCAAATCACAACTCTGCCTATGAAAATCAGACATTTCAATGCTAAAAGAGAAAGATGATTAGAATTAGAGGAAGGGTAATGTGGCTGGAAAGAAGAAAGTTTATGCAAAGAGGACAGGGTCCATAATCAATTCCCTTGACAAGCTTTCCTTGTAATTATTTAAGGTAGAACACGATGAATGACTGACTGCAAGTGCAAATATAGTCCAGTAACCACTTATCTTGCAGTTTATTATAAAGAAACAACTCATATTTCCTTTACAGCACCCCACAAAGAGAAAACAATTTTAAAAATATTGAAGAATGGCAAAGCATTTTTTCAAACAGCAAGAGTTTTGAACACAAACTCCTGCCCACGTATTCTTCCATAAAAAAGCAGATTTCTGCTAGCATTCTTTAGCAACATTTAATTACAAAATCATATGGTCAGCCCCCGTTTAAAGGAAAGAATGAATGTAATAGGTCTTTAAGAGAACAACTGATCTTTGTGAAGTGGGAAGGATGTTGATGTTTTGGGGTTTGTTTTATTTTTGTTTTTTAAAGTGGGTGTGGGGAGGATAAAAGAGCAAAAGCTTCCAGTTGCCAGGCCCCCAATCCTGTTGTTTATGTCCATCTCCAGATCTCCCCAATAATCTGTTACAGCAGAAACTAATGGTGCATATCTCGTGTGTATACTGCAGCCTGTGTGGTCCAATTAGAACAGTGCAGAGGTGTTTGTTATTTTAAAACAGGAACAGAGAAAGGTCATTTCATTTAAGAAAGCTGCAGAAATCTTGGAATATTTCAGAGATCTGTATTTGTGCAGGGAGATTAGGGTTTTGTGGACTAGCTTCTTTTGGGCAGAGGAAGACCGCTAATATTTTTGTTGGATTATATTTTCAAATATTTTCAATTATTTGCCAAGACTGCCTACATCCTGGGATAGATATTCTATTGTTTAAATGTTGAAATCAAAATAAATAAGTAAATAAATAGTAAAATTCTGGAATTCATGCAGCATGGATCAGATTTTAATGTAGCAGTTCAACAGTGAAACTCATTAAATGAAAAGAAATGGTGCATTGTTTGGGAAAAACAAGGCATCAATACCACTGACATTAACTAGCTGGACATCCATTATTACAAATCTCTGACATTTCTAACAAATAGAAGTACCCAGACTTTGGCATTTTCTGGTTTGTCTCAGCTCACCTATGTCAAAATACATTATTTCACTAGGTCTCAGCAAATCCTGAAATGAATTTAATTTTGGTACGGTCTCAGATTTCATTTTATGTTCTGATTTTATTCTGTTATTTGGAGTGCACTAATGTAATCTGAGTATAAGCAGCTATGGTTTTTTTAATATATATTTTCCTCTACTTGCAAAAATAAGTTTTGTTTTTCGTTTTAAAAGCATGACTGTATTGAGACACTCTACAACAAAGTTCAGTGGAAGCTCACAATCTGAATAAATCCCTGAATAATTAAACTACAATATTCCTCTTAAATGAAGTCATTTAATCCTGATTTGTTTTTTTACATCTTTTTGGTTTAATCCAAAATGAAAGCACCAGAAGCATATATACATTGTTTATGGGGCAGAAAGGACAGAGAAGGTGGAAAGAAATTAAGAGTTGTTGGGGGATAATTAGGTCTAACAGTAACATGACAACTGGTATTTGCCACATCACAATAAACAAATGTGAACCAGTAATTGAGATGATGAAGGAATATTTTCTCAGCTACCCAGGAAGGCCTTCCATTGTTTTGAAAAGGTGAGAGTCATTAAATCTGGCATGTACAAGTTGGACTTCCAATAACTATAAATACCTGACATACCTTCAAGGGCTCTCTGGAATGGAAGAATGGAAATCTATAGGTACTTTCTCAAAATTAGAGAAGCATGAAGCCATGTGTCATTTCACGGATTTTGATTTGTTGTGTTTAGACTCTTACGAATTGCATTACTCAAGCATGAACAGTTATAACCTTGAAAGGGTCTGCTTACTTGCGTCTGATAGTCTGAAAAGCAAAGCAACTATTTGGGATAAAGGATGATAGATGCAGAGGACTTGATGGCACACTAATGTGATGCAACATTCTCTTACATCTGAATTTGTTACTTATCACAGCCATTGAGTGAAATTAATTTTGTGATGCCAGCCAAGAAACTCCTGGGCAACAGTTCTATGTCATAAAAACAAACACCATTCTCAATCTGTTTGATTTTGTTTGCTTGTTAGAGCCCAGCACTGAAGCAGTAGAAAGTGCTTTACAATAAAAAATAATAGGGCAAGATGACAGTAACCATAAGATCTTCCAGACTCTGACACATTCAAGTTCTCTTTAATCTGTTTATATACCTAATGTAATTTATGAATCCAAGAAACAAGGGATGAAATCCTGGTCCCACTGAAGTCAATGATAAAACTCCCATAAAATTCAATGGGACAAGAATGTCACCCAAGGCACTGAAACAATGTACAGCAGTCATTCTAATCTATTTAACAAATTACAAAAGGTGTAGCAAGTTAGATGATCTCAACCTAATCCCTTGGACATCTAGCTATTAGCACTTTTCTTATAACGAAATGTCACTATATTCACCAAAATAAACTCCCACCCACAGGAGAGGAGATTTAAGGTAAACATACATTTAAAATACCTTCAAGAAACAGATCAAGCTGAAAAAGCTTGTAACTCCTACATGGCTCATTCCTGTAGCGGGGTGAGCACCCGCTCCAGCCCTGAAGGGGTTGGAAAAGCCCTGCAGAGGGCTGGGGCAAGGAGCAAAACCCCGGCTGATTGGGGGAAGGGGCTGCAGCTGGAGCTACACCCCAAACAGAGCAACCGGGCCTTATAAGGCGGCCAGGGCTGCCAGAAGCTCAGCAGTCTCTCCTCTAGCTGTAAAGGGAGACAGAGGCCTGGCTGCTGGGGAAGGTTGAGAGGTACCTGGGAGTGAGAAAGGGCCGGGGAAAAGCCAGAGGAGCAGGGGAGCTCCAGGCTGGTGACCTCCCCAGGCAGTAGTGCCTGGTTCTAGGCCCATAGAGGTACTGAGGGTGGAGGAAGGCAGCAGGCCAAACCCCCCTTGCCAGTGATGAGTGGCATACACTGAAGTCTGCCCCAGGGAACGGAGGCTAGTTGGTGACTGGCAGTAGCCTTACAGTGAGGCAAGGTAGAGATAGGGGGTGGGGGTTCCCCTGGGTGGAGAGACCAGAGAGAGGGTGGGGTATTGCCAGGGGGGCAGCACCCACGCCAAGGGCACCGGGGTCTGGGAGGGACACGGGGGCCAATGACAGGGAGGACACCTGGCTTGCAGAGGGCGTGCCGACTGGTGAGCTAATTCCTGAGACAACCAACAGGAGGCGCCGGCGGGGTGAGTCCACGCCGGATTACAATACCAAATAGTGTTTCTAGAGAAAGTACGCTTACTCCATATGGCGTGCTCTCAGAATAACCTTGTAACCATCTCCTCCTGATAAAGGGAGTTCTGGAGAATCACAGATGACTACACAGTAGCTAGGATGTGAAAGTCTCTCACATGACAATACATAGAATGACCTAACTTCCTTAACTATCCAGGTTCAAAGGTAGAATATTGTCACACAACCCACTCAGGTCACTCTTTAAGGAAACAGACTGGTGCAGAAATCAGCAAGAATGGTTAACATGTTCATTCCCTAAATAGGCATTTAAAAGAATTTCACATTCAGTGGAAGCAGAAAATCCTCAATATTTTTAATTGGAGGCAACATGTTCCTATACAGACAATTCACAAAAAGAATCTCCACCCCACAGGGGTTTGCACTAACACACACAACATTACCAGTTATCGTAAAAATCTAGTTAAAACTCCAGTTATTAACTCCACAAAACCAGGTGGATGGATGCTTCCTTGCAACTGAAAGTTGCCTGCATATACAGTCTATTACAGTTTATGTTCTTCGGCAGCTACCACTATCCAACTAAGCAATGAAAACATTGACAAGGATGTCATGTTACCCTAAGCCCATAAATCCAGAGCTATCTGGATTAGTTTAACCATGTAATAAAAAATTTGCCCAGTGTGCATACAATTCAAGAAGTTGGGATTTTCAGTAATATGACCCATTTTAAAAAGGAGGCAATGACACTCACTCATTAACAATATTTTAACTTACACTTCCTCACAATGCAAACTCTGAAAAACAAAAAAAATAAGACAGTCACAACCTAACACACCAATTTC